TACTTCTGGAAAGTTACAGTCCCTGTGATGAATGGCTTGTCTTTGTATTGTGATCGATACTTTGGTCTCCTCTGAAGTTAGGTCTCAGTGATGGGGGTAGTGTTTATTGATTATCTGCTTAGTAAAACAGATTTTGCTTTTCTATTCATTTTCCAAAGCTATTAGTAGGCATCCCTGTAACAAGTTTACCGTATGACAGCCAGCCATGTGAATTTTTATTGTAACTCTTGTGACCTTAGAAGAATGTCCAGGTGTCTGACTGGCTTCAGTCTTGTGTCCCTAGTTCCAGTTTTCCACATACTATGCTTAGGGAATGCTGTACAACACTGCCTGACATAGGAGACCCTGTGGGAAGGGGCAGAGGGTCTGTTAAAGGTGTCCTAACTTAATCCTAAAACAGGAGGTAGGGTTGGATGAGCAAGTTTCAGAGGGTTGTTGACACAGTAAGGTATGGGGACTCTTGAACAAAGGGCAGTAACTTAGAGGACACAACAGTCAGATTCTGGCTTTTCACTCTTTAGATGTGTTCTTCTGAGCCTATCATGTGTAACACTGAACCTCACAGAGTATCTCTAAGAGAAGTAGAAAGCAGTTTCTATAAAATATCTTAACTGTTTAAAGTAAATCTGAATAGAAACATTGTTAGGGCTTTGGGGAAAAGTGTTATCTTTGCAGCTTCATTAAGAATGAAGATAAAATATTTTACTATGTTTCATTAAATATAATTTTTCCGTTCAAATATGCTTTGGAAAAATTCCTACTTAAAAAATTGTGTGTTTTGATAAAAAGACTGCTATGAAAACATGAAGAGTTAGTGCCTCTTCTTGTGGTTGAAGAGCCCTAATTTTACTTAATCACTATATTTATTTAATCACTACATTTAAGATGCTGAGTTGAACTGGTCATTGGGAGGCACAGTCCTATCCTGTGAAAGCTGGTTTTGTGATAAATGGTAAATCCGTGAAGTTAGGCACAATTCCTATATTACAGGCTGATACATAACTTTTTAGAGTCTGAATTATTTTGGGTTTTTTTTTTTTTCTAATTTTTAAGAGATTGCATTTGTGTGTTCTTTGCCCCAACTAATTGCCATTAATTTCACTTTAACTTTTCTTTGTACTGACTTCCGTCTTTGGCAAAGAATTGTGCTAGATTTTGAGGCATTTTGCTTAAGAAAATTGATGAAGTGAGTCATAAATAACTTCCTATTGGTACTAGGACATATTTTTATGGTCAAACACAGACCTGATGCTTGGTCAAGGACAAAAGCGTTCAGCTTAATGATAGCTTGCTTAACAACAAACAAACAAAAAAAGCAAAAATAAACTCCTGCTTGTTAACCCCTTTTTTAAACCATTGAAAAAATTGTTAAATGAATTGAAAACTTAATTGCTGAAGCCTTGAATCTTTTGTCCTTAACAATTTGTAAATATGTTTGTGATATATTACATACTACATATTACATACATTTAATATGTAATGCAAACTTGTAAATTTGTAAATATGCTTATTTTACATAAACATTTGTAAATGGACTAATGTTTATGTTTTGTATTATGCTTAGGTCTTTATATTTTTGCTATATTTTAATCAATATCTTTCTTTGGTGAAATACATTTTTAAGGGAGACAAATGTGAAGAAATTTCATTACACTTTATACCATTTTTCTTGAAAAGAATTTGGAAGGAAGTGCCTTTTTTGACTCTATATAGTCTTATGTCTTCATAGTAAGGTATATCTGACATTTATGAGGGACATCTAGAGGTCTTATCATTTTATCTTTTTAATGCATAGGCTTGAAACTAACTGGCAGTAGAAAACACTCAAGTAGAGCCTCGTTATAATGTAAGCTATTATGTATCTTCAGACAGCTTTCTCTTCATATTCTGCCTCCAAAATATAACTGCATGGCTATGGAAACTTGACCAAATACATTTACTTCCATCTCTGTCTTTGATCCTGTCTGTGTATATGTAAACACACACACACACACAAATGGTCTGAACGTACTAGGAAGTTCTTTTTTATAAAAGAATAACTTATTTACATGAAAAAAGTATAGCATCTGGTGTTGTAGTACATGGTGTTGTAGCACTTGGGAAGGTAAGGCAGGAGGATCACAAGTTCAGGGACACCCTGGTCAATTTAATGATCACTTGTCTCAAATAACAAAAACAAATAAACAAAAAGTGTGGGTATTAGGTTATTGTGCTTCTGATTGCTCCTACTGTAAATTACCCTTTCTTTGATTCACCTCTTTGTATCAACATCTGTTCATTTTTTGTTATGATTTGGGAGTTACAGTCCTTGCCGTGTCCATTTCTGTTATACCACTGGTGGTACTTATAAATTCTGTTTGCCTGTAGAAGTGAACTCATCTGCCTTTCCTCATCACACTTGTGGTATTTCTGATGACAAGGCCTTCAGTTCACAGTCACATGACCACCAGCCAGTTAGTGTGTTTGACACTGGGGATGTAAGGATGACTTCTAAGGTGGATTTAGCTTTTAATATGTTCACAGTGTACTATCTGTAACAAGAGTCAGACCTCTGCCCTTGGCCTCAGAGTCAAGGATAGTATCCCAGAAAAGGTGAGGTGTTCTGGGCAAAAGGGAAGAGTTGGGCAAAACCATAAAGACAGGCAACAATGTGAAATTTTGAGGGAGGTGAGGTACTGAAAAAATACAGTGTGGGAAAGAAAAACTGAGGTGAAAGGAAGTAGGCTGTGGGCAGATTGTCAAGTACCTTCAGTGCTGGTCTAAGGAATGTGGACTTTATGAACTTTCTCCTATAGCTAATGGGCTACTCCTCAGGCATTTTAAGGAAGGAAATAACCTGAGATAAAAGAGCTTTAGAGTCACTCAGAATTGAACCCAAAGTCTCTACTTATGTCATTACTAGCTAAATATCCTGGACCTGATGTTTAACATTAATTTCTGAACTTCAGCTTCACATCTGTGAAATGGGAATAACTTGGACTCGATTGTAGGTGACTTAATCATTCAGCAAAACATTATATATATATATATATATATATATATATAATTTCTTTTGTATATTTCATATATATATAAGATTTCCCATAAATGTTATAGGAAAAGGAAATGAAGGATGATGAACCTACAAAGTTTAGTAAGAGCTGGCGGCTGGATCAACTCTTCTAAAATTTACCATGATTCTCTATCCATATCTGTTTTGTTTTGTTGGTTGGTTGTTGTTTTGGTTTGTTTCTGGTACTGGAGATCAAACCCAGGGTCTCAGTCATGGTAGGTAAAGTGCTCTACCATTGAGCTATATCCTCAGCCCTACTCACACCCAGTCTTTAAAAAATTTTTTTTATTAGTTGTACAAAGGGACTTCATTATGAATATTTCCATACATGCATACAGTGTACCCCAATCAAATCCCCCCCTCTATCCCTCCCCCTTGTACCCCTCCCCTTCTTAAAACAATTTTAACAGCTTTCATTGTTCTGCTTTCATACATGTAAATAAATAATTTCCACCAATTTTTTTTGGCAGTACTGGGGCTTGAGCTCAGGGCCTTCACCTTTTACTCCACCAGCCCTTTTAGTGATGAGTATTTTTGAGATAGGGTCTTGCAAACTGTTTGACTGGGCTGGCTTTGAACCATGATCCTCCTGATCTCTGCCTCCTGAGTAGCTAGGATTACAGGCATGAGCCACCAGCGCCCAGCTATTTCCACCATTTTTACCCCACCCCAGCCGTTCACCCTCTCCTTTTGCCCTCCCCCCTCCTCCTGCTGGTACTCACCCCCAAACAGAACCTATTTTGCATATCTGTTATTCATTTTTAAGCACTAGATTCCACATATGAGAGAGAGCATGTGATACTTGTCTTTCTCAGTCTGGCTTATTTTGGTTGACATGATAATCTCCAGTTCCATCCATTTTTCACATCTATCATGAGTTCTTTAGCATTACAGTGGTGGTATTCTGAGACAAAAGTCTGGGAATCCTTATTGCGCCTTCTTTATATCCAACCAATGATCAAATCTAGCCTGTTTTGCTTTTAAATATTTTTTGGCCAGATTTTTTTTTTTGTCTGTCCCTTGGTTCTGGCCCTTATCTCTCATTTTGACTCTGTAGAAATTGGTTACTTTCCCTTTTCTAATTCATTTTCCTTTCACTAGAAAGTTCTCACTTCAAATAATATCACCATGTACCCAGTCCTTGCCAACTGTCAAGTGGCTGTTGAATCTACCTTGCCTCAAATTATTGCAGTAAGGCTTTAGTCTGTTGCTGTCAGACCAGGAGGTATGAGCTCACTCTTGCAGTGGCTGGTTGCTTGCTAGGTGTATCAGTTATAGCTTCCCCCTTGCCAGTGCCTCAGACCTGCTTCCTTCTTGTTTTTGTTCACGGTCTTCTGAGAGATACTGCATCATTCATCTGCTGTTTGCTGGAACCCACAGCTGTTTTTGTTTTTCTCTTAACAGTCTTAACCAATTCACCTAGGCACACTATACACAGGCTAGCTCCTTACATTTGTTTTAGGGGTGTATTGCTACTCTTTCTCATGAGATTTGAAGCTTAAAAAAAAACAACAAAGACCCCTCAAGACTTTTAATATTCAGTCCCACAACATGCCTTTTATATTCACTTTGAACCTACCATTCAAATGAACCCACTCATAGTCTTAACTTTTTTTGAACTTTGCCCTAATAAGAGGCTATCCTGCACTGGGGGAATGCCTTTTTGGTTTTTCCTTATTCCTTAATTCTGCACGTTTTTAGCCTCTACTTAATTATTTGGAATCTAACTATCCATTAAGATAGGATGGATTTTGCTGTCTACTTATAGGGACACCAGCTGATACTGAATATCTGTATCCCAGTACTTAGCACAATGTTTTGCACCTGTGGGTGACTTTTGCCACATGTAGATAGTGGGTTATTTTCTGCAGCTTCTTCTCAGTGGGTAATAGGTGGGAGTTGAGAAGTGCATGAACTCACCTATTTGCATTTTGTTTTGGCACTCTAGGTCAGGATGGCTAACGGGTTGGCTTCCCACCTGGTGCCCTACATCTACATCACACCTCAAAGAAGCTGAGGAGAAAATGTTAAAATGTAAGGTTTTCTTCTTGTAAGTTACTAACACTATTTACTAAAATTGGTCAATATATTGTATTGCCCTGAAACTGGAGATAAGAGTCTATGATGTGTTAGTTGTTGGCAAAAGAATGGTTTTTTCTCTTTCATATCAGCAAGTGCTGAAATGTGGTGGGAAAGCGAGTGTCACCCTTTTTGATCTTGGGTCCCTGTTGAACTCTTAAATTAGTAAGGACTCCAAGGAGCTTTGTTTATGGGTTATAGTTATCAATATGTACCATATTATAAATTAAAATTGAACTATGTTAATGTATTAATTTATTTGAAAATAATGATAATAAACTCATTACAGGTTAAAAGAAATAACATGTTTATTAAATGATAGCTACTTTCCAAACAAAAGTGTAATGAGAAGAGTAACTCATTTTTGTGATTACAAATCTCTTTTATGTCTACCTTAATATGAAACAGCTCAATCCTCATACCTGCTTCTACACTGAAAAAGTCCATTGTACATTCATCAGAGAATGAGCATGAAAATGGCAGTTTTAATATTATTATAAAACCAGTTTTTGACCTCCTCAAAAGGTCTCAAGGAGCCCGCATATGTCCCAGACTTTGCACTTGGAGAACAGATTCTAGGTGTTCTGAGAGTCTTGTATAGTAGAACATACTTTAGACTTGGTTTAGGCCCAGATATGCCACAAGATGGTCACAGAATCTCAGGCAAGTCTCTTTGCTCAGCTTCCCATTTCTTACCTGTAAAATATGGGAGTAATATGCTCTTTAGAATTCCTTCTAGTAACAGCATTCTAGGATTCTTTATTCTGTTTTTACTGGTGCAGAAGCCTTTGGTGTTGTTGTTCCTTCTGAGCACTGAAATTTGTCCAGACTTCTGTCAGGGTAGTCTCTGGGATCTAGGGTACAGTATTAAGCTGTAGTGTTTAGTGTATACTTTTGTCCTGCTGATCTAGTTTAAAGGAGTGGCTTAGGTAGTGCGGCTTATAACCATGATTATTTTGTGTGTATGTGCCAATGTTTGTTCACATCTATTTCTTGTCCTCTTTACCATTAATGGCTTTCTTATTTGTACATTTGGTGATTCAAGAATAAGGGCCCATTACTGGCTATATCTTTAATAAGTTATAATTATCCCTCTTATGTGGGTTTTAACACGAAAGTGAACTTCTGCTGCTGGAGTTGCTCAAATGGTAGAGCACCTGCCTAGCAAACATAACACCCTGGTTCAAACCCCAGTACCACCAAAAAAAAAAACATAAAACAAAAAAAAGAATTTCTGGTTTCTCCATATACTTGGATAATCTTGCTGGCAAAGTTGTCATTGTAGTTTATCAAAATACAGAACTCATGTCAAGAGATTTTAAGAAAAGGATGCTACATGCATTTAATAAGCATTGATTTCCTACTCTGGGTTCTCGGGTTGCACAAAGGAGTAAAAATTGGTACCTGCTGTAACATCAGACATGAAACCAAGTGAGATGAGCTCTCTAATAGACATAATAGATAATTTTTGTGGAAATGCACAGGCACCTGTGTTCAAAATGCTGAAGTGACTTGGCCTGGCACTAATGCCAATCACTTCCTTTTAAAAGCTGGTGGTATTTCTCCTCATGGAGGAGCATGGGATCTGCTACCATGTAAATACATACCTGGGATTATGTCTTTTGTTAAAGGGTGGAAACACCTGGTTCTCCCATGCAGAGGAATGTGCAGAAATAATTAAAGGGCACATCTGAAGTGTAGCTATTCAGTTGATAATTTAATGTAAACAAACTTTGAGTTTAGTTTCAGATTTAGTCAGTGTTGAGGGGTATTTAAAGTAATCTCAAGCCATTGAACATGAGAGTTTTTGATCTATAAAATCATGACTCTTTGTTCTTTCTGAGCAATTACTGGACTTGAACTCAGGTTACCTGGTATCTCATGCCGAGGAGTTCCTGCCATACCCTATCACCTCTTTTCTACAAAGCTTTGAAATGATTTAAGATTTCAGGTATGTGTTTAATGTGGATGCCATTAATCCTTCCCCAAATTCACAATTACTTTTCATAATTTCTTCAAGTCTGACTGTAGTCTTCAATGCTTCATTCATCAAGTATTCTACAAAATCAAAGTGATGTTCTTTTGTTATTGTTTACAAAGCGTCGAGACCTTAAAATAATGGGTTCATGACCACTGAGTTCTTCTCCAGTTCTGGGCATGTAATACCCTCATTTGATAGAGTGGAAAGAAGTCAGGAGATAACATATATGATTTATCAAAGACTTAGACCACAGGTAACTTGAGGCTTATCTAAGGTAAGTCTGTCCACTTAGATATAAAAATGTGGTCATTTAGAATTGTTTGCTTAAAAACAAACATACTTTTTTTTTTTTAGGGCTGACATAATAAAAGCTAAAATCATTCAACTGGATACCATATGATTTCTAGATTATTAATTTTTGTTTGCTCTGAGAATACTCCTCAGGAGCTGTGAAGTTAAGCAGAATTTCTCTTTTATGTTTTCACTAGGTGTCCCCTGCACTTACAAAAAAGAGCCTGTTTGTATATCTAATGGCAATAGAATATGGACACTGAAGTTCTCTCACAATATTTCAAATAAGACTCCTCTTGTCCTCCTCCATGGTTTTGGAGGAGGTCTTGGACTCTGGGCACTGAATTTTGGAGATCTTTGTACAGATAGGCCCGTCTTTGCTTTTGACCTACTGGGCTTTGGACGAAGTAGTAGACCCAGGTTTGACAGTGACGCTGAAGAGGTGGAGAATCAGTTTGTGGAATCCATTGAAGAGTGGAGACAAGCCCTAGGATTGGACAAAATGATCTTGCTTGGGCACAACTTGGGAGGGTTCTTGTCTGCTGCCTATTCACTGAAGTACCCATTAAGGTAAGTGATGGTGACAAAAGAGAGGGATTATAGTTGACATCCAAGTGCTAGTCTCTGGTTCCCATGTTTCCTGCTTATTGGTGTTTGAGCCTTAGAAAGATAGGCATTCTCTAAAAGACCCTGTAGACCAAATTGTCACAACTGGCAATCAGTTTAGTAGCTGAAATAATGATACAGTTGATAACTTACATGTTGATAAGCTTGATAAAGGCCTTTCTGTTTGCTATTTAGAATTCTATAAAAATGAATAATTTTAAGCCACAAGTAAAAATTATTGTGGTATTACTGTTTATCATCATCATTAAACCTGAGGATGCAGCAGGCTTTTCCCAACCTTTTCTAAGTTACAGGGAACTGCAATGGGAGCCAGCTGGTTAAAGTTAGAAAACCCTATAACCTCTAAACTTTAGTTTCTTTCATAGTGACTCTTACGTGGTTTTTAGTTATACTTTTCCCTAGCATTTCTCATTACATATTTTTCAGGCATTAAATTAATAATGTTTGCTTCAGAACCTTGCTAGCATTATTTCCTTTCTTCACCTTATTTTTCATACTGTTTCCTGTTATTCATATTGCTATTCTGAGAGGCAGTGACATTTGAATGCTAAGAAAATAGAAGAAAAACTTATCTGTGTTTTGGTCATCTTTTGGAATGAAACAAAAGAGTGAATATCGGCATTTTTGTGTTGTCAGTGTATTTTTCTGTGGGCTAATTTTGAAATCCACAATTACATTTGACTTTGATATTGAGCACTGTGAGAGACATAGAGTGATGGTCATTGTCAGAGTGCCTACACTGCCTGTGAGGGCACCGCATTGCATAACTCCAAGCCTGTATCCTACACAGTGTTTGGCATGTGGTACAGCAGCCCTGTATTTAGGAGGGTTTCTTCCTCTGACACAGCCACTTTTTCTCCATAGATGAATTATCTAAATTCCAGCCTTTCTATCTGATTTTTCTGGCGAGAGCATAGTTCAATATGTGCTAGATAGTAATAGTCTTGTCAACTGACTGACTGACTGTTCTTTCAAAGGAAACTCATTTACTTCTCTTGCATTTTGGGATTATTCTTTTTTATCGTGCCCTATTCTAAGTGACAGATATCTAGCTGAATTTGTGGGGGAAGGAGGAGAAGATAGAAGATAAGAGAACAGAGCTATTTGTGGGGTTGGACTTCCTTTGTTTTGTTTTGTTTTTTTTAATCAGGCATTTATTATGACTGTCTTTTGTAATATGGGATTCTGGGCTAGACCCTGATCATTAAATCCCTAAGTCATACAATTCCTACCCTTCACAGCTGTATACTGATTAGGTAAGTTGGTGAGATTTTCATTCACAGTATTGAAATGCTGTAAAGAAATAGAGTGGCTTCAGAAATCCAGAGGGGAGTAAACACTTTAAAACCATCTGTAAAAGAATAGCAACAGGTTTTGAAATGAGAGCCAGCAATTCCTGCATGCTGGACTATGCTTTAGAAAATGATTTTTTTGGATGTTTGTATCTAATGTTAGAAATAAAAGTAGAATACTGTATCAGGACCTAGAACCATTAAATAGTAGTAATAGATGAACATGAGAGAACTTGGATTATCTGGAAGGTCTAAATTCCTCTGGTCACCACTAAGATACAGATATTCAACCTTGTTCTTCTGTTCTCCTTTTTTTATTTCTAGTTTTTCTTTTTCTTGTTTTAAGCCTATATTCTTAACTGCATAAAACTTAAATTATTAAACACAAGTTAATTTCAAAATAATAGCATTGTCTTTATTTTCAGCTATCCCAGTCATGATTGCTCCAAGTATGTGTGTCTGTCATAGGGAACTTCATATTGAGTGTGGCTTAGCACTTAGTGTTTACTCCAGCCAGCACTCCCAGCGGTTGTCCACCTGCTTTCTGTGCACCTGGAATGCTTTACCTGTGCTAGGGAGGCTTCTCAGCCGCATACACAATTTCTCTGGTGCAGTTGAGCAGTCTGCTTAGTGTCAACTAAACAAGTGTGCAGCCCACTACTGTAAATATGCTCTCCAGCCATGTTTCTCTTGATCCAAATAGCTTTTTTTTTTTTGGTTTGGTTTTCTAAGACAGGGCCTCATTATGTATCCCAGCTGGCATAGTACCCACGATCCTCCTTGCATCAGCCTACTGAGTTCTGATATTATAGGCATGCACCATGATGCCCAGCCTAGATCAGAAAAATTCAGAGAGGTAATGGGGGAAGGAAAAAGTGGTCTGGAGGCCAATAAAATTCAATAATTTTTTTTGCTCACTGTGCATCTTTTGTCTCTGTTTCCTAGTTACCTTTTTTTTTTTTGTCTCTTCAGGGGTAGCAGATATATAATCTTTATTTTTTTTTTCAAGTAAAAGAACAGTGTCTTGATTTTTTTCGTTTTCCTCATGGAGGAAAAAGATAAAAGTAACTGTTTCATTTGTTGAGAATTAGAATCCCAATCCATATCCATTTCAGTCCTTATCTTTTATGGACAGTCCTATTCTTCCATTCTTTATTTTTATAAGACAGTTTGAGAAGGGTGAAAATGCCTATTTTCATGTCCCTGCTTAAGGAGTATCTTATGATAAAGAACAAATAAAAGCTGATAATTTTTTTGCTGTTTTTTGGTGTGTTTGATATGGACAGGTCACTTTAAAAAGTAACAAAGTGCCTTTGTCTATAAAAGTTTCATAGCCACACTTGTGAGGGTGATCCCATAACCACCCCACCCCCAGAGTCTTCACACTGATAAACTGAGTAGTAAGTACTTGGTATACTTCATGAAGAAGCCCCAGGATGATTCTTTCATTGATATATTAGTGATGAAGGAAATACTGTGGTATCATATTCCATCAGGCTGGTTGTACTTAAATAATATTTTGGGCCAGTATTTTATTTTTCTTTAAGAAGAAGTTGTCTGAAGAGGCAGCTGAATTCTATTCATGTTATAAATTTTGACAGTCATTTTAAGCCACCTATTTTTTTTACAATAGATGGTATTAATCATACTGTAAATAAAGGACTGCTTCTTTGCTTCATCATATCTGCAGGTGTATGCCAGGTGTTACGCTGTGTGCTGGTCTGGCTGGTGAGCAGAAGGGAACAGGGCATGGAAGCCCTGTGTATACAAGGCTGCAGTGTATGGGAGGACCACGCATGGAATAACACGTGGTGGCATGACAGCTGTGGTTAGTGCTGTAGTGAAGTGGGCAGTGCTATGAGAGCTTAATGAGCGCTTTTTACCCTAAAGAAGTGCAGTTCAAGCTGAGGTCGCAAGGAGAAACATTGAGTGGCAGGAGTGTGTTCAGGCAGTGGGACAGAAATTACAAAGACCTCGTGCGAGTCAGACACCTGGGCCATTCTGGAAAGGCCCATGTGTCTGGTGGGGCACAGAAGTGATGAACCGGCTAGGAGGTGACCAAGAAAAAGGCAAATCTCCTTGCTCCTTCCCCCTGACATGTTCATCTCAGTTCTTTTACTACCAAGTTTAATAATCAGAGCTGCCACCTGTAGTTGCACTAGTACATTGACATGCTGGGTCATGAGCAGTAGGGCCACTTGATGTGTGAGAAGTCTTTGGCTGCTTGGCTGCCGTTCTATAAAACCTACTTCGTTCTGAGCCAGTGGCTCACACCTGTAATCCTAGCTACTCAAGAGGCAGAGATCAGGACATCATGGTTCGAAGCCATCCCTGGGCAAATAGTTCACAGTACCCGATCTCGAAAAGCCCTTCACAACAATAGAGCTGGTAGAGTGGCTCAAGGTGAAGGCACTGAGTTCAAGCCCCAGTACCACAAAAAAAAAAAAAAAAAAAA